TGATTCAGCCCAAGAGACTTTTTATTTTGCATGAAGATGAACAGAGATTGATACATCTGATGCCATAGGTATTTTTGATTATAATGATATATTTTCTCTATTATAGAGGTAATGGAGAAAGATGGCCACACAGTAGAACTTGTACAGATGTCAGACAGAAATAGAGTAGAAATTTGGGTGAATGGAGAACTGATATTTGACTGTGATATACGAGATTTAGATTATGGTAGGTTTTATTCTGGTCTGTTCAAGCTGAGGCAAGGTTTCATTAGCCTTCATATAAAACTATTATTGCCTACATGTAATCTACCAATGTTGTCCAGTTTCTACCACTTTTGCACGTTGTCCACCGACCTAACGATGTGATGTCCAATTCTACCTTCATTTTTTTTTTTTTTTTTTTCATTGCCATAATTTTTACAGGACCTACAGTTTTCATTGTTTACTATAAATCAATAAAATCATTAGTTGTATTTTAATTGTTGGTAACAGGCGTTATTGACTTCAACTAGCTAGCATCTTCACAATATCAACCTATTACAAACTTTGTCTTATACCATGACTCCAATAGCCAGTATTCTTGTATTACCAAATGCAACGATTTGATTGGATTGTATGTTGATGATTACAGTCAGTCATAGCCCATGACAGAATGGCTGTAAACATTATGGCTTTATGTTCACAAACATTCTGTAGAGTCTTCAGACTTGAATATGAACATCAAAATGTTTTGTACCATGGTGAAAATTCCTTTAATATTTCTTTTATTTTTCACAGGAGGAGATGGAGATTTGGATGAGAAATGTCACCAAGCTTTAGAAGCTGTCAGAAAGGCATATTAAAATACTGTTTTATCAGAGTCAGGGATGGATCTCGGCTCAATTAGAAATTTGCTGTGTTGTTCTTTCCAGACCATTACTTACCAGTTTATCTATTTATATTTTATGATTTTTATAGACGGATTTTGATTTTTTAATTATCTTGTGATTCTTTAAATGTATTTGTTTTAATTTTTGATGTTTAAAATCATGACCATTAATTAACTTTACTAGGTGGTTTCGTATTTAGATTACTGTGTTCTAGAAATTTATTTGTTAAAAAGAGTTATTTCCCTTGACACAATTTGAACGTCTTATTACTGCTGTTATTTATTATCAGTAAATGTTCTTGATATAATGATAATATTTTTATGTTAATTTATGTATATTGAGTCTATAATCATTACGAATATTTAATGATTGATTTTAATTTGTATAAAATAAACATTTTTATCATGAAATTACCTCCCTTGACTTTATTAATATTATTACCTACAGCCCACAATTAACTTCTAATGTAAATTGCAGAGCCGTACGGATCTTGTAAATTGATCACCACAGGGCTTTATCTTTCATACATAGAAAACACGACGAAGAGAATTGGAGTAAGGTCTCCAAATTGGAGAATTGTGGAAATTCAAAGTCACAGCCATAACTAATAATCACAAAAGGTTTCGTCACGTCTCAAGAACCACAATTTGTTGATGAAATTATCGTTTCAAGCTTTACCCCTGGTAGAAACCTCTTGTAGGCCTATAACAATCGAATGTCTCAATTATTAATTTTATAGAAATGCTACAGGTTCTAGCCGGGTATGTGGGAGGGTCGCTATGCGCAAAATTTTAAAGCAGTGATGCGATGGGTGCTGTGGTGAATGACCTGTCGGGTCAGGTTGAGACCCAACCCCCCCCCGTACTCTTTCTCTCTCTCATTGTAAATGTCAGTCAAGATTTACAACTTCCTCGAAAACTCTTTGCCTTGGTGAAAACCTCTATATTATAGGGTACAAATTAGAATTATTCAATCAAATATATTATCTAAGTAAAGGTAAACGATTTGAAACGGGAGAAGATCTATTATTGTTATTGACTTGTATCAGAGTAACATAGGAGTTAACAGCCCTTAATCACTTCAAGCATATCATATATACACTTCAATAGTCATTTATATTGTCCTATAGTGATGTTTGTAGTAAGGTACTTGATTGATCTTATCTACAAAACTATCCAGTATTTTCTGAATGTTATTGTGTGCGGTGAAATACTGGATCGTTCTTATCTATTTATCGATATCACAGACACTATTGTCCAGTTTCATAATATTGCTGGAACATATCGACGTGAACGGTAGTTTTGAAACAATAATTTGATAGACGACTAGACAGTCCTAGTCTAATGATCAACTATTCGTCGAAATTATCCAGTATTGATCTGTCCTTTTTTTCAAGGACCCGATTATTCCGGACTAGTGATCGATATCCTACAGTCATGATCATCCAGTCAGATCTCTATAGATCTGTTGACTTATTTGTTTTCATTCATTGAAAGAAATGTAAGACATGAATAGGATTAACATTAATAACTCTTATTGGCGATTCAAGCCGGACAATGGGATTTATAGGGTAACAAGAACCAAACAAAACGACCCTTCATTCTATTGAGAACGGGTGACACTGTCTTTCTTGTCTTTAACACAGTTTTAAAAATCCAATCTAGTTGCTATGGTGGTTTAAATTATAACTAAGTTTTTGTGGATTATTTAAGAAAACTTCAAAGTTTGAAGGTAAGTGTGATATATTTTATTTAGTTAATTTGAAGCCTGAGAAGTGAGAGAGATATTCTCACTACGATCGTGTTGTCAAGGAGCAATATCTGTTAGTTATATATTACCCCCAAGCATTCGTTTCCTTTCATTTGTTAAATATTTAATCCTTTACTTCGTACAACAATTTACAACAGCGTTGTTTTTCAATCAGATTGGAATCTCTTCCTGAGAGTCCACATAGCTGATAATGTTTATTTGGTATTTAGCTTTTTCAAATCATTCACCATTTAGAGAGTCCACATAGCTAATAATATTTTTTTGGTATTTAGGTTTGTCAACCCGGCATCTCTTTCAGAGAGTCCGCATAACTAATAATGTTCGTCAATCAGGCATGTCAATCATAGAGTCCACCTAGCTAATAATGTTTGTCAATCAGGCATGTCAATCATAGAGTCCACATAGCTAATAA